AACGCCAAGAAAAGGCATCCCGTTTTGCGCGGGCCGATTCGCAAAGTTGCAAACCCGAGTACCAGGGCTGTTGTCATTGCCCGATGCCCCTACATCTTGTTGTAAGCATCCGTATTTCTGAAGCAAACCAAGCATCACTCATCATGCAAAAGCGAAAAGCTGAATCAACCAAGAATTCAAGGTGAGGACGCTGGATATAAAGACACTCTGAGAAGAAACACTACAACAGGCCTCAGTGCCTACGCGTATGTGTGGATCCAGTGGTTGCTTCCCTCGTAATTTGCAACTTTTCTGATAGGGCGATTACAGTTGCCGGGAAAAACGCACCTCCCCACATATCGCCTTAAAACTTAACAGCCATTGCGAGCAACGGGGGGGGGGGATATATGTATATATATCCCGCGCATTGCAGGCCATGTCGGACCGTGCGGGATATATATCCCCCGCACCCATTACACTCATTTTTTTCGCGCACGCCTGATTCTTTTAGAAGTTTCTTGTATTCATTCCATGGAAGAGACCTTGGCGTAGCTACAAACATAGTGGCCCTTAGAATGGTCACGTATGCTTAAAGGACGAATTCACGCTGGGAAGGCAACCCATTTCAAATTAACTCAGGGATGGTGATTGGTACACGAAAGAAGGAAGAACCATGAGAAACGGCCCAGAACCCGAGAAATGGGACCCCTTCCTTCCCCGCTGATTTGCGCATTGATGCGACTCTTATCGCTGTGCCCCTCCTCAACATCACGCTCTCTCTGCTATCTAATCAATCCCACGTATAGATCTGCGGCGAGTGATCAGCTGGTCGGTGGGCGGAGATCGCCAGACCCGCCAACTTTGAGGCATAATAGGTCGCCGAGGTCAAATTTTTCGATGCGAATTGCGCATCAGTTCGCACCCTCAGGAGGTCCGTGGGTACTCAACTAGGTGAATTACTTCTTCCTCGATTCTATTCTAAGTAAAGGCTCACTAAGGGGGTTTGAGCACGAACTTTGCCTTTAAACTGCCTAAATTTCACGACCGCCGCCCACCTCGGTGATTGTGTCGAGGTCTGCGTCTCGCTCACATTTCATGCTCTCTCATTTGCTATCAACTCACTCTCGTTTTATAGCAATGCTTCTTAAGGTTTCAATGTCTGTCTGTGTCATGGACTCGTCAACCGTCAAAAGAGCTCTTCTTTCAAGTGACTTCTTTTCTTTCTCCCTCACTTTCCAACACTTTTCCATCATTGTCACTTATCCAGTTCGTACCTAAACATCGTTCTTGGGCGGATTGACCGTAAGAATCCGGTCGTGGGGAGTGCCTCTGAAGACAGACTCACGATCAGTTCAAGTCCTCACCCATTCTTGATGAGTGAGATAGAGCTGTCTTCTAGAATCGTAGATCTTCCATTCTCGCGGCTCAGAAACCCGCGATAAGGGCACTATATCGTTACCAAAAGCTGCCACCGCTTCCACTTTCCAGTTGCCGCAGTATGCTGATGTCTCTGTTCTCTCATCGCTTGTGTTTTTTTCTTCTCCAGCTCTTCCACTCTCTGTGTCTCATTGACTTAGCACGGCCCAATCACGATAATGAGCAAGTCCTTAATTTTAACTGATCTGGAGCGTGGGTTAGTGAGTCTTTTTGATTGTGTAGTATAGCAATCAGTGCTATTCATCAATTGTTATTAGTTGAAGAAAAGGGCAAATTCATAGCTTCAGGCCATGTCTGCTGTCGCCTTTGATGCCGATCACGTCGTGCGCTGTGGAATGTGACGCCTTTGTCACTGACATCATGAATAAGGAATTACACTCTAATAACGGTATTTTACTCTTCTCTATTCAAAGCCCGAGTTCTGTCTGACTATCTGCTCGAACTACGTAGATGAAAGCAGTCGCTTTCTGTGAAAGCTCTTGTATGAATGAACATTGAACATTTAAGAAGCGCAGCGCAAAAGCAATCAGCGCGAAATCTTTGACAACACCGGATTACTTTTCAAATTTGAATTGAGAAGTCCTATTTTCAGTCCATTCATCCAATCCAGGACTGGAATACATATGGCGTGAGGAAGCAGCACGATGCGCCGTGCAAGGTCGAAAGCTCGAGGACACTTTCAACAATTGTATGTTCGCGCAACATCTCTTTGCCTAATATCGCTCACTGTACATTACTGTATTATCACTAGGACCACAATATGAAATAATCACATCGATAAGAGCTGGTACAATTTCGTATCTCCCAAGATGCCGGCTATGCAGAATTGAATCGTGCTTTCTAGTTGATCAGGCTAAGATAACAGTTCAAATCAGGGTATCAGGAATGGGCGCCAAAACTTTATTGGTATGGTTGTGTAGCGGAAATACAAGCTGACTATCAGACTAATACGGATAAACGCCCACTTTCTTGGTTGCTGAGTCGTCCATTGTCGGAGGCAACGGGCAAACAAAAAGGCAGGTCCTAATAAATTTTTTTTTTTTCGGGGCCCTCCGCGTCCCTGTGTCGTAGGTCGGATTTCTTTGCTTTTTTTTGCCAACAGCATTATCTAGCACTTTCACTTCCACTGTAAATCCAGCCAAACCTCCTCGTAATCTGTCGTTTCGAGGTTGGACATTTGGCCAGATTACGCTCTATTTTTGGTACGCAACGATGGAAATTTTTTCTGGGAAGCTATATAGACTTCTGCGATAATTGTATGAAGGACTCGTTTCGCGATTTTTAGCAATTTTGGGGGATGACCATGGCCGTGTGTCATTGTGTCACTAGTAATGACATTACTGACACCATCAACCGTACGGCAGTCGTATATTTGGAATCCTTCTTTTTATAAAGCGCTAACTTTGTGTGTCGGTTTGTATGTATGTCTGTATGTATGTATGTATGTATGTGTGTCCGTCCGCAAAATGAAGTGAGTGAGAAGGAAGCTCATGGATAAACAACCGCTAACAAATGGGTAGCTCGCAGGACTTGAGCTATCAATGTTTTGCAATGGCATGATTGTGATAACACCCCAACGGCTATATAAACACCTACTTAGCACACTTTCGGTCATTCCACAAGGTGCTGCAGTGGCAGCTGGAGAGCAGTGGAGGGAGGAGGGGAGGATAAGGAGAGGAGGAGAAAGCAAAGCTTACGCAGGGAAGGGAGGTTCCGGCGGTTGCCGGGGGACCAATCTGTTCGGAAATATACCATAACTGACCATTGTTGCCTGAGGTCCGCGAGCTAGCAGATCATAGCAGCAACAGAAATCATCTTCTTCGCGTTCACAAATTTTCCTTGTGCAATTCCACTGCCTTCCTCTCGAGTGTGGTCTATCGTGAATTTTGCTCTGCACTTGCGGCTGTCATTGGTACTTACAAGAAGCGAGAGGTGCAGAGCAATTCCTCTTTCTCTGCAAGAAGACTTGTTCACTTTTATTTTATTTAGTGATTTTTATGATTCAAAACTTGGGGTGGGGATGAAGTCGGCGAGTACTCGCACCGTGCATTGCGTCACTTCCAGATACGCCTCGTCCTTATTGGAAGATTCAATCGGAACGCGATCTTTTGGATAGGCTCGAGCTTCTCGGTAAAGAGATGGTTGACGAAAATGCTGAGACGGCTCCACCTGAGCCTCTGAATGGTATGACTATTTTTGCCCTCGTAGCATAAATTATATTTGAATGCTTCAACGGCGGCATGTATAATTTGCTTTCAAGTTTATGCATTTAGAGACCATGATCGATGCTCGTCTTAGCGACGGACAGGAAGAGAACTTGGACGCAACTATGGTGTGGACAGGCGAGGTGACACAGTTGGAGCAGTCAACAAATTTAGAACCTACTGCAGTTGAACCAAAAGAAGACGGGCAAGAAGACAGCGATGAAGAAGGAGCCGATACGGTTGCCGAGGAGGAAGTGCTTATGACTCAACTCAAAGACTCCATGAGAACTGGAGAAAGGGAGGAGAAAGAGGTGATTTTTGCAAAGTCATGAAAGGCTGTTATCTTGCGACATTGCTTGCCATTCTTCAGGCTCCTCCAATTGAGGACTTTTCTGTGAAGGACGAGCAGCCAGCACAGGAGCCTTCGGAACTTCTAGTCAAGTCGTGAGTGTTGCAAAAATTCGTTCTCCTTTGATGCTCATTTGTTCCTCATTCTGACTGACGCTGTACTGCTTGGGGAAGAAATGGCGATACGTGGCGCGATTCATGCATTCATGCACCTAATTAGTAAGGAGAAAGTTCATTTAGTGGTCTGCTCAATCACTTGCCCTTCGCCAAGCCAGAACTGGTGATTTGCAAAATAGGCAGGTTACGCATTTCAATGTAGAAACGTTTCACCGATGTGTGGTTCAGCAAATTTTAGTCTACATATATCGCCCACTGCCCCTACAACTTCTCCCAAACCTACCCCTTCTCTCTATCTCCAGAGACCCTTTTCGACCGCCCCAGCTCTCAGTTTCAGATGGTCGATGGTGTCGCTGAACCCGGTTCTACATGCCCAAGGTTCCTAGGTCTCTCCCTCCCCCGCCGTCTCAGTCTTCACCAAATGTGGTTCCAACGGTAGGAAGGGGTGCATCGCTACTTGGAACGCAAACGTGGCACTTTTTTTTCTCAAACTTCACTATCCGTCTGTCTGTCACTGTCGTCCTCAAATGTAAAATGAATGCCTGTTTTCCTTCACAAAGGTAAAGCTTCCTGTCGAGGAATTTTTGTTCGTGGCTCATCCTGCTATACCTGCTATACGTAGGAATTCGCTCGGGACGCTCAACATAAATTCTTTTGGCTAGAAATCATTTATGTACCGCTTCTTCTCTCGTCGAATCCGTTCCCTATCCATACAATTCAGGAGATGGGTGACAATGGACTTAGAAACTGCCACTGAAGCGGCGATTAAAGTAGTGCTCTGATGGAAGGGCACGAAGGAGGAGGGATCGGGTTCATTTCCATCAGATGTTACCAGTGTGTTCGCAGATGCCAGCTTTCATCCAGTAAGCTCGTACACTATTCATTTTGTATCTTCTGCTCCATGTAATTTTTTAGATGCCCCTAAACTCACCGTTGGATGGTACTGCTATTCTGAGCACATCGACAAATGGTAAGCATGTTTTGGTGCATCTGCAAAGCAATAGTTAACATGATTTTTTCTATCTTAATGGTCATCTTTACGTAGCGAACTATCGGAGGAACTGAACTCGTGAGTGATACAATTCAAAGAGAGGGCGGAGCGAAAAACCTCATGCCTGCTTTGAAGGCAAGCTTCAGGATAAAATATGTATGGAAGAGCGTTCACTTATGAGGTGGGGAATGGTCTGGAAAAGGAAAAGAAGCAAGAGAAACCCTTCGATTACGCCTTCGAATAAGGACCTCCTCTATTTCAGCCGCATTCCACCTTGGGATAGAGAAGGGGCGTGTTGGACGAGTTTCACGACCTAGCTCCAGTTGCTCCAGTGCCAATGACATTGAACGCAATGCAACCGCTGCCGCAACTGCGCCCGCGCTTTTCAAGCAGCGTCACGTGGCAACCGACAGCGGAAGGCGGGGCTTGCGGACGAAGGTGTGGTTGCGGGTTGGACGAGCTTCTGCGCCTTTGTCGCGCACTTTCAAGCCGCAAAAGGGGCGCGACATCAACGCTTGTCCGCCTCTACTACCCGGGGATGGAACAGGTGAGCAAGCCTAATTCCGGAGCGTACCCCTAACTTGGGTTGGTAGGAGTTTTTCAGGACAGTGTTATGCCACTCTTCCTTATTTCACATCCTCAAACGAATAGCTCTCCGATATCTTCTGCTTGACCATCTTCTGCGAGCTGTACTAGAGACATAACCTGTGCTAAACACAGCATCCACATGGATGAGCCGAAGCCTTTTCTCTGCAAAGTTTCGAAGAGAACACCCCAGGATGCCATGCGGGCCACAGTAGAGTTGCGTTCGAAGCAATTGGGAGCCATACTCACAACAACAGGGAGCATATCCAATGAATGTCATTCCTTTCAATATGTAAATGTATGACTAAAAAAATTATGTGCACCTCTTGAAGGTATGCACATATTTGAGTGAAGCTACAATTTGAGAAACGTGGTGCAAATTTATGGGACACCCTGTATGATGCCGAGCTTGCTAATGAGGTCACCAACATGGTAAGAAGCTCTGGTACCCATATGAAGTTCTCCTTCAGCCTTGCAAACTGCGCTTTGTGACCGCTGTTTTCTAACTGGTCTGTCTGGCGACATAGTGCTTGCTTTTCCCGGATTGCATATCGTCAGATCTTCGTGGAAGGATTCCGATCCAAGCATTCTTGCGTGGGAAGTGCAAGCTGCCACCCCTTGTTTATTTTTTATTTTTGCGGCTTGTTGTGTTCTAATAAGTAGTTTTCTCGCTATTCCGCTCAACATTACCGTCCTCATATTTAGGGAATTAGTGTTTCTTTCTCGACTCATTTTGGCAAACGTAACAACCCGTCATAGCCTGCTCACTTCTAGTTGTACACTCCAGTGCTCGCTTGCCTGCTCATAGCCACATTTGCGCCATTGTGTAGTCCTGGTTGAGATTTGTGGAAGAATTCATCACATGTCTTTTCGCATAGTTTGAATTAAGCGGAAGAAGAAAGAAAGGAGGATGATCTGTTCGAGATATCTTGTCTCAGTGCAGCAAGCTTGGAACTACTTGTGTTCACGCAGGCTTCGATGCCGGATCCGCAGGTGAGTTCATATGTCGGGATTTCAATGGTGATAATTGGCTAGGAATCCTGTTTTCAGTTCGATCCGCTTCTGGGCTTTTCCTTTTGCGTATTTTCTGACGTTTGTCGATCAACTACACCATCACAACTACTTTTCGTTACAACTTTACCTATCCAGGTATTTTTAAAGCCCGGATGCTGAATAATTTTCGATAATGTCCGCGTTTACTATCATTTTTTGGCAAATTACTTATACTGTGCGCAAAAAGTGCGTGTAATACTTCAACTCTTGGCCTTCCATCACGATTCTCCAATTATATTTGTGAGGCGCCATACATCGAAATTAAAGTCGTGTATTATTTTTTGATTTGCCAATTCGGTCTACATATGCAGGGTGGGGTTAGAAATGGTAGCAAGGTAGCTATGGCAGAGAAAGTGACTTTGATTTGAAACAGAGCATCCCTTATGTGCACCCACAGTTAACGGAACCATCT